CAGTAAAATGGAGCAAGGGGATTAAGGAGGAAGAAGAAAGGACTGGAACGGGGAGTAATGGAAAGAATCTGAGCAAACTTCCATATGTGCTGTGTGAATGTGGCTGGGCGCCCAGCATCAGGCATATCCACAGGACAATAATTTTTTAAAAATGTAACGTAAACAGTAAAGGGATTGAAGAGGATCTGTGGAGAGGAGGCGGGGAGCTGGGGAGAGGGGAAGTGCTGGGGCTTAACTGGAGCAGGCTGGTTCCACACTTTTCTGATTATGTCAAGGTACATCCTGGTATTGTGTCCTAACTAAAAACAATCTTTTTAAAAGAACACTAAATTATATACTTTTGAGAATCAGAGTTGCTAGAAAGTTAAAGTTTTTGGAGCAGTCTTATGTTTTATAAAATTTGCTATCAGAAAAAAATCAAGATATTTCTAGATTTAAATGGGACCCCTGTAAAATCATGAGAGTACATTATTTTGTTACTTGTTCGCATATCTGGAAAATTAAAAAGCTCCTTCTATAGGAATATCACCAGTTTTCCTCATTAAAATTTAGCATAGTTGTCTCTGAAGCAATGTTAGAGCAAAGGGCACCCAGACAATTAAATAGCTAGGAAATAATTTATTTTAGTTTCATTTTTGGCTTATTGAGTACCATTTAAATAATCACCAATTTGCTCTGATGCATTCAGAGCAATTCTTTTCTTTTTATATTGTTTTAGTTGTAGATGGACACAATATCTTTATTTATTTTTATGTGATGCTGAGGATCAAACCCAGGTCCTCACATGTGCAAGGCAGGTGCTGTACCACTGAGCTACAGCTACAGCCTAATGCAAAGCAATTTTAATCAAAAAATATCTATTTTTTAGTCCTGTGTCTAATATAGACACACAAAAAAACATCATTATCACGGCCCCTGGATGTGCAGAATCGACAACTGAAGTTCCGTGGGCAAGAGCACATAAGCGAGTGGGAACCATGTCGAGTGCAGCAGGCCACACCCTGACTTCCACTAAGACACTCCCCAGGGACCCGACAGGAACACAGGAGGTAGGAGCCTTGTGCACCATGCTGCAGGGCTGAGCGCTGCCCACACATGCCACCTGAAGGGCTGCCCACAGTGGCCAGCCCTTGCCAGCCCCCTCTCCACCACCACACCATCCTGCTTCACTACAATACCTCTGGCTCCAAGCAACAGCTCTGGAACAGACATGAATCGCCCACCTCCTAAGGTGCCTTGTAGAATCTAGATTTCTCCCCAGTTCCAGAGCCACTTGGGCCTTTGGGCTTCTGGTTCAGTCACTCCAAAGGCTTTTCAGAACCATCTTATTGGTAAGAAATAACAGAAATTGTTTGTCTATCCATGTTTCAGTTGCTAAGAAGAAAAACTACATTGTGAGTCAGAGTTCTGGAAATGAAGAGAAAAAGCAACTCTCCTGTTTTCCTCCTAGAAATATAACTAGGGCAAAATAGCTACTATTTTCATTGTAAAAAACAAATATTTTTGCTATAAAAATTAACAAAAGGGCTGGGTTTATGGCTCAGAGGTAGAGCACTCACCTACCATGTGTGAAGCCCCAGGTTCAATCCTCAGCACCACATATAAATAAATAAATATTTTTTTTAAAAATCCACCCTAACAATAACCAGTTTTGTACACATAATGTTTCCAATTTTTCCTATGTAACTCTTTAGGAATATAATTTAAAATCTTTAATGGAAACAAGCCATTATTTGTTTTATAATTTTAAAAAATTGGTCTTTTGTACCCCCACCGGCCTCACCTGCAGTGTGCACGCTCAGACTCTCACACAAACTGCGGATGCCACGGTTTGACACAAAACCTAGCTCACAGCAGCTGTAGGCAGGGTGTGAGCTGCTGCTCCTGAGGCAAGGGCTGGGGCACGGGGCCCAGCCCCCGAGGGAGGACCGTGCTGCCCGGTTGCCGAGGCAGAGACAGAGTCCTGGCGTGCCACGTCTGCACCCATGTGCAGCTGAAAACCCACGCCTCCTCCCACCTGAGTCACTGAGTCACTCTGTTCCAGTGAGCCACACACACTGCTTACAGCCACCGTGGAAACGATCACATTCTCGGTGTCTACAAGACATCAAGGAAAGCTGGAAATGAGACGCGCTCTGGGAAAGCAGCACCAGCCCCTCAGGTCCCAGCAGGCCGTGGCCACAAGACACACAGAGCCCTTCCACTGGCTCTCCTCAGGGCATGTGTGCCCCTGTCATGTCCCTCACCCACTTAAGTCCCCACACAGTGGACTGGGCTTAAAACTACCCAAATACATTTATTACAGAAATACAGAGGGAAACACATGGCACGAGTAGGTGGGCGGAAAACACAGACTACTATGTGAAAGCACATGGTTCTGAAACCCAGCACCACTGGTGTGAGCCAGGAGCACACCCAGGAGCTGGGCCGGCCTGCCCCTCCTACTGCAACACAGCGCAGTCTCTCCACAAGTGCCTGCCTGCACTGGCCAAGGCTGAGGAGCACTGCATCTCACTTCCCCACAGAACACGCACAGGGCCAAAGCCACAGGAGGGACAGCTGGCTCAGTCTGCAAAGCAGGAGCACCCTGCAGAGAGACACTGGCCCAAAGAACCCAAGAGCAGTGCAGAGCCTCACACTGGGCGGAACAGTTTCTGTGGTCAGACGCATTTGCTGCAGCACACGCTGGATCCCCTTCTGACGTGACACCACCACGCAGGGGGTTGCAGAAGTTTAAGAACACACCAATAAACACGGATGAAGCAAGATGCAGAATATAAAAATCTGAAAACCTTATAATCCGATTTAAAAATGGGCAAATGCTCTAAAGACTCTTCTTAAAAAAATACAAATAACCAACAAAAAGAAAGATTAAAAGATCTATGAAAGATTCTCATTATTATTAGCCATTAGTGAAATACAACTCAAAATTAAAACTATAATTATATACTATCCCATTCCAATTAGAACACTGTTATCAAAACATAAACTAACAAGGTCCGTGAAGACATGAAGCAAAGGGCCCTCTGCACTGGGGGGCGGGCAGGTGGGGCCTCCAGACTGAGACTGGACCGACAAGCAGCGCAGCAGCCCAGAAGGCACCTGGCTCACAAGAAAGATGCCCGCATGCCCAGGGACATGGGGCCACTGCTGCCAGTAGCCAGGATATGGAACCAGCCCAAGAGCCCATTGACCAATTGATGGAAAAAGAAAATGTGGCATATATACAGAATGGAGTATCATTCAGCCATAAAGAAGAAGAGATCCTGTCATTTGCAGGAAAATGGATGGAACTGGAGGTGAAATGAAGTGAAATGATCCAGAGGCACAAATCCAAATACTGCCTATTCTGACACATAGAAGTTTAAAGAAAAGTTGACCTAAATGTACAAAAATGTTGCTGGCATTTGGAAAGAAGCAGGTGAGGAGGGTGGATAATGGAGGCTGGATTTGATCATGTGTTTAAATCCCACACTAACCCTCACCAAAATGTACAGCTAACACATGCTAGTAAGCAATCAGTGTTCTGAAGCATTTCTGTAAACATGATTGCCCAAATGCAAATACAATGCACATTAAAACGATGTTCAGTTTGACACCCATACCCTCTTCCCGTCAGGGCCCAGCCTGCAAAGAGCCTAGGAGGACCAGCTCTTCCTTCTGCACACCCAATCGTGAGTCAGAGTAAGGGTCAGGGCTTGGCCCTGCTGGGCAGAAGGGACTTCCAAATCAAGCAGCCACTGGAAACAGCAGTGGCTCTTCAGCTGCTAGTTTCATCTGCTCCGATTTTGGATGCTCATCAGGATTAATCATCAGCCACAGCTCTCTTCTAAAACTAAATTTTAACAAAGCATAAAATATTCAAAACTGTCACGGTGTAAGAAGAGCAGTGTGTCTGAAAATTAACACCAGAAGAATTCGACTAGAAGGGCACCCACAGATGCACAGTAGAGGCCCGTGTCTGCATACATACTGACACACGCACAAGGTCTTCGTCACGGTTCAGGTGTGAGGCGTCCTGCTAATGCGGGCGTGTCCAGAGGTGGAATGACTGCACGGTGAGAGCTGACACCTGAATGGACTCGTTGGAACGGGACTGACTGGGGGTGACTGGGGCCGGGGGAGTGTGGCAGGAGGAGTGGGCTGCGGGGTGTGCCCTGAAGAGCGCCCCTTCCTGCCTCTCCTCTCTCCCTCTTGACCATGCCATGAGCTGAGCAGCCGTCTTCCACTGGCCCTTGCCCCTGATATCCCGCCTCACCTTAGGACCACAACAATGGACTTGGCCAGCTGTGAAACCCTACACCCCAATAAACTTTTCCTCCTCTTAGTTGTTTTTATCAGGTCAGAGATGAAAAAGCTGAAAAAAACAGTCTTATACCTGTTTGAGAAAAATCAGATAGAGCATTTAAACATCTAAGTTATTTAAATTTACTTGGAAGGCATTCACTAACTTTCATACCGCTTGCAATTGATCTTGCATTTTGAAGATCTTTTACCATCTTTCTTGATGTTAGTCTTTGGTGAAAACATAGTGACACTGTGGAAAGAAAATGGTTACAAGTCACTTTTAGAATTAAATTTCTTAAGAGATCTACATATTACAGGAGAAGGAATATGTACACACCTGCATGAATAGTTTCAGCTGCCTCCTGCTCCTCCTTCCTCCATCTGTCCCTCTATCCCACACCTCAGAGATGTCACCTTGCTGCACATCTCCAGAACTTTCTAATATCCTGCAATGCTACCTTGAACTTCTCCTGTTAGGTTTCAACTTGCAGCAAGGCACTGAGGACACCATGACCTGGGACCTGCCTCTTTCCCCTGGGCTCCAGCACACAGCCCCACATCTACAGCATGCCTCAAAACAGTGGCCCAAGGAGTCCACATTCAATGTCACAGATGCCACAGGCACTGAGACACCCACAGGTTAGGGACATGGGCTGATGCATAATTTTGCTGAGACACAAATCTAGAATCCATCCAACCATCCATCCAACCATTTACTCTTCCCTCCATGCATCCATTTCTCCATTCATCAACCCCTCTATCCAATCATCTCTACATCCATCTTCCATTTTTCCATCCATCCATTCATATCTCCATCTATCCACAAT